TCAAATGAATGAGCTGTGTTTTATTGACAAGCAGCATGAAATAAGTTTAAATGAATCCGGTTCACTTTTGGATTTCGTCAGAAATCCCTCTGGTGAAGTAATAATGTTAGTTTTTTTCCTGAATAATCATGAAATTTCAGAGTGAAACTGCTATATATATCTTTGAAAACGAGGAATTGCTCAGACTATGGTAGGGAATTTCATACCCAAAAACCTCAGTGAGACAAATATATTTGCAATTTTTCAAAGATGATCAGTGTAATAATACTTCTGAACAGCTTAGATATGTTGAGAAGTTCTTTCCTCCATGAAGTGAGATGTGATATGGTTTAAACCACAATCATTTATGGCAATATGTTTAGCATAAATACCAAAAGCTTAGGAAAAGATGTTTGTGGGAGTTGTTTGTCATTTTATATAAAACAAACAATATTAGCTGTTGAGTCTATCGAAGTATCTAAATCACCAAATTGAGATACGCGCAAAATAGAAGTTTGCAAATCAACGACTTGTCTGAAACGTCTATTCTTTTTGAACAATGTACAGAAATTTGTTACAAACCTCAACATGTGAGTTGTCCGCAGTGTTTACCGCATCTTTTCGTCTGAGACAAATAAGACTACTTGTAATAGTAACATAAAGAATAATTACAACATACAATCATAGAAAAGATAACTGCATTTAAACTTGGTAACTTTTTATCAGCGTGGTGGAAAAATCAAACCCTTTCAAGGCTGACTGCCGTTCCGCTTCAACGACCTTGAATGGCCTGACAAGAGACGGCCATTCCTTATTTCAAATGCAGTGGGTTTGTTGGGTGTACACTGCAGCAAAACCACAAAATCACCGCGAAGAACATTGATTTATCTTCCTCTGTCTTGTAATGTACTCATTGTATCGATTTTTTGAGGATAATTTTGGTCGAGAGCGTCCTGTTCTGTCTGCCTGGAAACAAATATTATTGCGAGCAGATCTAACCTGAGTCGTGGATAGATTTAGACTTGCCGATGTCCTTGCGTCATATACTTCTGGCGTACATAAGAAGACAGACTCTTACGAACAAACCCGGTCAATTACGAAGTATACATACTGTATTTCACCATATTCATAGAGATTGCAGTCAATGGAACATAGATAACTCTCACATTTTCCATACCAACAACAATTTCGCCACTCAGACGAAGCGAACATTATGTACAGATCCGAAGAAGCCAATTTCCACTTAAGAATAATCAGTAAGTAGGTGAAACTGAAGTTTCTCTAATGGTGGTCTTTATAGAAAATATGGATCGGAATACAACGGTGTGGAGACGTGTCAGGAACTGTTTACTATAAGAAGTTCTTTGTAGTATTCTTTTTAACTTAACTGTATATCCAACTGACAAACTGATTTTTCTAAGTCAAATGTCGCTCTTTCTGTATCTGTAGTAATGATGCATCAATAAACTTTTTCCTTATATTTATTTTTGTCTTTTTCGTAGTTTCATGGAGAGATATACAGGTAATTTTAGTGGAAAACTGTTTGTGAAAATTAAAAACAACTAACTGTTTCCTTCATAAGTACCAGTTTCGTTTGGAAAACTTGTATTATTGCATCAGTTTAGACGCCTCGCTGGAATGTTGTATTGTATATATAAGTTTCTTCACTATGACAGCGTATTCGGGTGGATAGTGGCATTGTTTCCTAACCACATTGTCTTCGAAGCCAAGCATATAATGACTGAAAAGATGTATATACGAGATTTAGGACTTGGAGAAGGCCAGTAGTGCTAGATGTGGAGACATTCGTTTAATCGCTCATGCTTGCAAACGAACTCATTTTGCGTAACCTATTACCATTCAAGTAAAATCTATAATTCTATCCTCGGCGCAAATGTGTTCTACAGAAGTACTAAGTATCATTGTTAAACGTCATGATACGATGAATTAATGTAGACAGTGATACGACTTCCAGATTAGGCAATCACACGACAAATCTACCGTTTTCGGATAAGGTCTATTATTAAAGTAGTATTAGCACCGAACTAGACTATAATTATACATGCAAGATTTATAATGCAAAAAACTGTATAGTTGTTATGTTTATATTTAAATAATTCATTAGATTAATAGACGTGGCAGTAGTCAATTCTAAAGCACAGTCATCGTACACTTGTAAATTCCTTCTCCACATAATCCTCCATATTCAGAAACTCATTGGGTTGTTCACTGGCACAGACATAACTATTAGAAAGGTCCGAGCCTTTCGATTCGTCGAGAGAAGTTGCATATCAGAAGAAGTATGGGGACTTTCTCAACCTAGCAGAATTCTGAGAAACAATAAATCAATCGTGAAAGAAACGATTTAACTACGCTATCAGCATCAAATTCAATAAGCAAATGAAATTGCAGCTAACATAATGTACCTAGCAGTGTCTAAGTTGGTGTATACAATGCCCTTCATCTTCTAAACTTTCCAGAATTTCACCTAGTCAATTGATATTAACAAAGATACTGATGATCACCATTTGGATATTACTTGTCAACATGCATTAAAACTTTGTCTATAATTTGTTCAGTGATTGTGGATTCTGTTTACAGAAATTCACTCGTAAACCCTATAAAAGTGACATCGTAAATTAGTATTAACTGCGGCATGGCTTAGTTACCTTGCTGAAGACAAACGCGCATCGCTTTACATATGAAGAATACGTGACTAATTATTGCGGTACTTACAGTTATATTTCATTGAAAAAGATTGGACCAGATTGCCAGGCGAAACGTTGGCTTCAAATACTTTCGCTGAGATTCTAAAAATGCATTCTTCCTCTTTAATTCCTGTATATGTTCATAAAGTGGGCTATGAACTTTAACTTTTACTAATATAATTTCTCTCAGATACGTTATATAATAATATGACAGTTCAGTCAAAATCGATCATACTTATAACCGACAGAGCTGTGTATAACTGCATATTAACAAGTTATACAACGTTAATAAGTTGTTTAAGGCCTAATTGCCATGACCTATATTTTATAAACAACTACTAACATCATTTTTCACTATCATAATTACGGAGGTGAATCAAATAAAAAAGATTACAGAGTTCATTTTTGCACAAAGCTCTGATTGCGGTCTATTTTTGACCTCATGAATGGTGAATTGCACCGTGTAATTGCGGCCTACTTCGTTATTAATACTACTCTAATAATAGATCGAATTCTAACATTGTGGATCTGTCATGATGTAACTGCCTAATCTGTAAGACTTTACATGGAAGTCACATCATTGCCTACACCAAATCATCGTATAGTAGCAATCAGCAATATATGGTGAAGAACACATTGAGAGTGGAGATAGAACAATATATTTAATATGGATAAAAGGTGTATAACAACATTAAACACTGACCACGCCTGTAAGGCCGGGAGATGCCATCCGACCAATTGGTTTTCAATTCATTTAATCCTTCTTGCCTTCTCCATCGTTGGGTTTTCCTCCGCGTTACATAATGAACATCTATTTTCCCAGTTGTCTCGTGCTCAGCTTTGAGAATTGTGTGGTTTAGGCCCAGTGTCACTACAGCATTTTCTTGAGTTTCCGTCGTTACAAATAACTACACTGAGCTGACTAAACACTCATCCAGGTTGTGATCAACAAGTACGTCATACTACTAATAAACTGGAATAAGAGCTATGTAACAAGCACAAACACTACGAAAATTGACGTGAGACGAAAAAGCTGCTGTCAATAACTGATAAATAACGACATCCGAAATCCTCGACAATATGTAACACGTACGCGAAAACCCATGGCTTAACGCTCCGACGGTGCCCTGTTTATCGACAAGCAAAAACCGAACAAATGGAAAACATTATGGAAACCGTTGGTTTAAACAAGTGTTAAATACATAAATTGTAAACGACCGCTACAACTATTGAGCCAATGTAATTATAGTGATAGATGCAGTAAATGTTATAACTACATGTAAATGTTTCAGGATGTTACACGTCAAACTTAAGTTCCAACATATGGGGGGGGGGGAATTGCGAGGAATACAACTATTTACTGAATATTAATAACTGGTATAAAACAATGCGCAAAAGAGTCGAAGGGAAATGAATAGCGATCGAGAATGTAAACCAGTCGTAAAAATGTCTCTAAAAGTCACATGGTGGAATTTTAATGCTTACTTACTTTTTATTATCACCTTTCTAATAGCATCTGTAAAACAACTTTCCTAATCGTTTTTAGTACACATAGAAGTGTTTGTGATTTTGAGTGATTTATATTGCAAACACTTGAACACGTTGTCTGTCTAAATATATAATTCTCACCATAATAAATACATGTTTTATGACTGAGCTTCCAGTAGTTTCAAACAATAAAAACAACAAACAGTAGAGCATTCTCTGATTCATTATCTCGAAAGGCGAAGGTTATTATCTTAATTTGAGATGATCTTCACTGGTATAAATTCATCATATTTAGGTTTTTTATGGATATATGTGGCGTCCAATAAAAGACTTACGTGGCCATGTCTTGACCATTCTATTGTGAACGTGTTCCAGTCAATATTACTTGTAAGTATCATTTGCTAGAGAACCGATAACGAAACTAATATAGACGAGTGTTTATATTTATACAGTGAGATAAATCAATCAAGGTATATATCGAAGTCTTTAAACCCTGAGAAGATAACATGAATCGCGAGGGAAGAAATCAATTTGTTTGTTCAAGTTCGTTACACAGATACTGGCGTCTGTAGTCTTTGTAACAAAAAATTTTGCACCGTTGGACGCAGTCAAACAGTCTACCGCTAATTTGCCTTCGTTTAGTACAACGTCTTGTTACGAAGTTTTTATTCACATTTTCTCGTTTTTTAAAGTCACTTGTTTAGTTACACTAAAAGTGGATGTCATATGTATATCTGCAGCGGCTAATTCGATTGTTGCTCTTAATATATTGTTCCTTGATATTCTCACTAATTGTCGTTGTCACAAAATTGTTACTTGAAGAAAATGCCACGAGCTCCCGCTCTGTTTACAAACGATGCAAGACATCAGTTTACATGCTGCCTATGCTTACATGTGAGGACAGGGACGATCATTTTCGGGATAACTCAGATAATTATCCAACTTGTCTTTATATCATTTCTTTTCTTGATGACGTTTAATCCGAGACTTATTCCGGAGGATAATCATGGAAGTTTAGATCCATCGCAGGCCAACGTCCGTAAGTTTTATTTCATTCTGTTGTTGCTGGATTTGCCCGTCGATTCACTTTTCTTTCATGACTGCCTTGTTTCCACCAATCATTTGATCAATAATCTGCCTAACTCACATGTCGTCCGTTGATTATTATTGCATTCATTTTGTTCGCAGTTATTTTATTTTTGCTACATGAAATTGTTTTAATATCAGGCTTTTTCCACATCGTTTTATAGTTTTCGGGATTCTGTTCACTCTCTAACGCATTATATTCGGAATCTGTACTCTCTCACTCATCCTATCCCTGTTCACAATATGGCTGTAGGCTTGAATTTCCGTTTTAATCCCAACTTAAGTTTGAGCTTGGACAGTGCATAAAGTATACGTAGATTAGAACCGTTTCAAGAATGAAGTAACTGTCATTTTGGATTATGGTAGTTTGTTTATATGTCCATCAGTATTTTATGACTTGCTACAACTTATCTTAATTTTCTGAAGATATCTTCGTCCTAGTCGGTTAAATAAGCAAATATTCACCCTGAAGTTCTCTTTTGTCATTCTGACAGTCTAATAGATTGCTTCAAATTTCCCTTTCTAAATTTATTAAAATTTCGTAAATTAAGTAAAAGTTGCACTAACACTTTTATAAGTGACATATGTGTTGTCCATTTTTGCTTTCGTGTATCACCTACTCGCTGCCTGTCCCTCGTGTCAATGGTAATGTGATGTGTTTTGATTAATTTTGAATAGGGCAGACTGAACTCAGTCAGTCAGTCAGTAACAACGTAGAACTTCGTACGTACGTACATCAGTTCAAGTTGCCACACCACATTAGCACAGAGATGCAGTGGTCGATTCAAATCCCGTAGTGGTAGAGGTAATAAGAGTATAAGCAGTAATCGGGAAGATTAGGGTTTGAAGATGTTATTCAAAGAGTATAATCCAGTGAAATAAATTTGGAAAGAGGAAAAAAGGGACATGAAGAATTCAGAAGATTAGAATTTGGGAGAACACAAAGAGTGTATGCACCTGCGCCATTGCACACGATTTTGAGCCATGTCATTCAGGGTCTCTAACCATCGGTTGCTATCATCTCGTGGTCCCCAACCAGGTAGTCTACACCTACCAACATGACTCAGACCACTTGTCAGTGACTTCATGGACTTGTGCCATGTTTTGGTCTGGCCGCCCCTAGCTTTCTTCCAACCTACTCCTATACCACTGAACATCGCACGTCGAGGCAGTCGGTCGTTGGGCATACGTAACACGTGTCCCAGCCATCTCAACTGATGAAGTTTCACTTCGTCATCAATTGATTTGCCGTCCTTACCTAGTACCCGTTTCCTAACAACTGCATTACTTACTCGATGGTCCCAGAATATACGAGCAATGTTTCGAAGACACCTATGATCAAATACTAGTAGCCTACGGATATCCTCTACTCTTACCGGCCATGTTTCACTGCCATAAAGTAGGGCAGAACGAACTGCTGCACAGTAAACCCGTCCTTTAGTTGATAGACGGATATCTCGCCTACGCCATAAATGACGCAAGTTGGTAAAAGCTAGTCGAGCCTTCTGTATCCGTGCTGAGATTTCGTCACACACCAGACCACAAGGTCTGATGAGACTTTCAAGATAAGTGGAGCGATCGAGATGCTCAATTACTTCACTCCCTATCATTAGTTCGGGTGTCGATGCAACCCAATCCTGAAGCAACATTTTACATTTCGAGGGGTAGAATCGCATCCCGAACATGCTTGCATCGTTGCTCAGAATGGTCATAAGACTCTGCATTTTGTCAGCGTCTTCACCAAATAGAACTATGTCATCAGCATATTCTAAGTCAACAAGTGGACCTCCCGGTAGAAGTTCAACCCCTAGAAATTTAGACTAGACTGAACTCAGACCTCATTGATTCACGTTTAGCTTACAGTCTACTCAGAAGAAATAAGTATTTGACACCCTCAGCATTATTATTTTCACTCATCGGTTTTCCCTGAAAATTCAACTTTTTGTTTGATTTACAGGAATATTTCTATTGAAGTGTTTCTATATGATATCCATATCTCAATCCTGATGCAATTGTCCGTATATTGTAGGCTAACCACTTTTCGTCAAAAGCTTTAAAGAATTCCGGAACTACATAGATTAGTATGCCAGTTGTGATATTAAAATTCTTTCCCTTATATATATTTCTCAGAACCTATCTAGCTGAATTAAAAACACCTGAATTATAAAAATATTGATTTCTCATATGTCTGCAATGACAACTACAGTCCAGTCTTCTGTGAAATTCTTGACATTAGGGTCGCCTTCGATTCGTTGGACAGGACTATCCTCTGAGGTTATTCATTGAAGAAGTGTGCTCATGAGAAAGCCTTATATACAAGCACCTCAGGCAGAGTGAGGGCATACAACCACCTCTCTCCATTGCCTCATTCAAGCAGTGGGGTTAAGCAGATTTGCTCGACGTCACCATTCCTCTTCAACTTTTTCATCGATGACGTTCTGGAAACAGCTCTGATGGATGTGGGTAATTGTAGTCTAGATCTGTTGTCTGGAAAAAAGATATTTTGACCTTGAGTATGCGGATGATATTGTCTTACTGTGCGATGACACCTAAGCCATGCAATCCGCACTTAATAATTAGGCAATTAGTGTCCGTAGGTATGGCGTGTGCTTCGCACTTTCGAAGTGCAAAGTACTTTTACCAAACTGAGAGGACCCTGAACCGGCACTCACCATGAGTGGTGAGTAGATAGTAGGAGTCGGGAAGTTCGTGTATCTGGGTAGCTACGTAAGTGTTGACTTCTTTTGGTCCTTCAAGACTCCCTGGTTGGGGTCCTAGAAATGGTACAACACTGTCTAGGGAGGTTATCAGACATGACTCAGAATAGAAGCCAGTAACGATCCTGCTTTAACTTTTAATTTTTTCATAAAAGTGAACTTCTTTGACTGAAAGAATTCCTTCTGATTGTATTTTTCCTAACTGAACTGTTTCTCCCACTATTATTATTTCATTCCTGTACATTTATTTGTTATTTATTTATTTGAACACATAAATATTGGTACAAGAGTGCGCCAAATATATATGCGCCACACAAAACAATGAGAATTTAAAGAGAAGGAAGAAGAAAAAACGTAAGGAGCGCAAAAAAAGAGAACAATAACGAAGAGATTGGTGTAAGGTAGTGTAATAGCAATAATAATAATGGGGGAACGGAGAGGTAAAATCGGAAGAAATCTTTCAGTTAAGGAAGACACAACCGCTTTTTACGAAGAAAGCAAAAGAAGGTTACAGCAGGATCGCCACTGGCTTCTATTCTGAGCCATATCTAATAACGTCTCAAGCCACTGTGTTGCATCATCTCTCGGACCCCAGCCAGAGAGTCGTGAAGGACCAACACAAGCCAGTCCTTTGCAGCTTTCTTTCATGCCACGACACCATGTCATGCACTGACCACCTCTCCGCTTCTTCCAACCAGTCCCAGAGTCGGCAAATAATGCACGACGTGGAATTCTCTGGGACGACATTCGGAGAACATGTCCAAGCCACCGAAGTCGGTGTTTCAAGATGGTGACATCGATTGCATTATCATCTCTGTGCCCGAACACACGATGCCGAACCTCTGCATTACTGACATGGTGTTACCACTGGATGCCAGCGATCCTTCGGAGACAACGATGATCGAACACAGAGAGTCGTCTAACGTCCTCAACTCGGAGGGGCCAGGTTTCACAAGCATAGAGCAAAACTGCTCTCACCGACGCGTTGTAGATCCGGCCTTTTACAGCCAGACTAACATCACGAAGGCGCCAAAGGTGGCCCAGATTGGCATAAGCCGCTCTGGCTTTCACTATTCGTGCATTGATCTCATCACTCACACCACCACCAGCACTTATGCAGCTACCCAGATACACGAACTTCTCGACTACTTCTATCTGTTCACCATCCAGGGTGAGTACAGGATTGGAATCCTGCCAGTCTTGTAGAAGTACTTTGCACTTCGAAGGTGCAAAGCACATACCATACCTACGGACACTGATTGCCAACTGATTAAGTGCGGATTGCATGCCTTGGGCATTATCGCACAGTAAGACAATATCGTCCGCATACCCAAGGTCGAGAAGTCTTTCTCCAGGCAACAGATCCACACCACCATTACTTACATTCATCAGAGCTGTTTCCAGAATGTCATCGATGGCAAAGTTGAAGAGGAATGGTGAGATTGGGCAACCCTGCCTAACCCCACTGCTCGAATGGAACAATGGAGAGAGGTGGTTGTATGCCCTCACTCTGCCTGAGGTGTTTGTATATAGGGCTTTTAGGATGTTAATAAACTTCTCAGGCACACCCTTCTTCAATAGACAATCCCAGAGGAAAGTCCTATCCAATGAATCGAAGGCAGCCCTAATGTCAAGAAACACTACGATTGTTGGCCTTTAATAAGTATGGCGGTGTTCTAACATTTGGTGGAGGGTGAAGATATGATCAATACATCCTCGACCAGAACGAAACCCAGCCTGCTCCTCGCGAGTCAATCTTTCTCGGGTTTTGAACAACCTACGAAGTATGACGGAAGCCAATAGCTTGGACGCAATCGGAAGTAGACTTATCCCCCGATATTTGTTACAGGAACGACGTGAACACTTTTTAAAGATAGGGACAACTATCGACTCATTCCATGACGTTGGTACAACGTCATCAGTTCCTTAGTCAGAAAGTCACTACCATCTTTAAAAAGAGCCAGAGGTAAGTCATCTGGGCCAGGTGATTTGTAGCGCTTCAAGAGTTGGAGTTCCTTGCGGACTTCCGCCTCATTTGGTGGATCAGTCGTCACCGGCCATGGAGGGCAGGACAGTCTGACCGATGTTGCCGGAGCAGCAGGCCAGTTGAACTGCCCTTCGAAGAATTCTGCCCATCGTCCAAGACGTCGATGGATGTTAGTGATCGGCATCCTGTCAACCTCACAGATTGTTTCGCTCACACCAGACTTCTTGCTGCCAGTGGCTCGGATGAGTTGGAAGAGCTTCCGGTAGTTACCAGATGCAGCTGCTGCTCCCAGCTCGTTAGCAGGCTCCGACCACCAGGCTTCTCGGTCCTTACGCAAGCTTTGCCCAATTTCCTCACGTAACATCCTTCGTTTGTGGTCAAACTCACGGTCACCCGGAGTAGACCGACGGGCTTCAATGAGTTGTAAGGAACCAGAAGAAACCCAGTGCTTGAAAGCAGGACGTTTCGCGAACCCACAACTGACTGTACCCGCCATTTTCATGGCGTCATGAGATTGCAACCTATGCTCATCTATACTTTTCAGTGGAATGATAGCTAGCCTAGAAGCTAGCTCGGTTCGATACTTACTTGCAACAGAAGTTGCAACCAGCTTGCTAACATCAATCTGTTGATGGCGGTCACTTCGTCGGCCACTGAAAAGCACGGTAAGATTGGCGCAGACCAGGGCGTGATCAGAGTCCAGATAGGTGCTCCAAAATGAGCGACAGTCTTGTACACAACCACGTCAGAGGTAGCTGATCGCGATGTGATCAATCTGAGTCCAGGCTTGAGATGCAGAGGGAGGACGCCAGGTGGCACATCGGCGATGACTGTGCCGAAAGTTAGTGCTAGCCAGAAACAGGTTGTGGTCTGTGCAAAGTTGCAGTAGACGGTACCCGTTATCTGACCTGCGACCAACGAGTCCCCATCGGCCACCTAAGCGACTCTCTTCTGTGCCTAGACGCCCGACCTGAGCATTCGAGTCTCCGGCTAGTACTACAATATTTGTCGAACGCACTTTCTGGAGAACAGTGAACTCGTGGTAGAATTCATCCTTGATTGCATCCGGGCTGCAATCTGTCGGGGCATAGATGGAGATGACGAAAAGACGTCGTTTTTCACGCCGATTTCTTCTCACTTTGATGGAACTTTCTAATCTAACAGCACATAACCGATTGTTAATGGGGATCCAATCGACTAGTGCTGCCTCAGCTCTAGCGCTTAGTGCGACACCAACGCGAGCAAGACCAGACGCAGATGCCACAGGGTCCCTGGATAAACGCACGTAAAACAAGCTTTTGGAAGCGACAGATGGTGAGCGAATTAGTAGTACTTCAGAACGACTGTTTCAGTATTCGTATTTGGTGGTAACATACAATTTTCAACCAGGCAGTGACTCGAGAACGTTTAGATGCAGTCGAATTTCCACCATAGACGAGCTGTTATATAAGTTGAAAAATAAGGATAGACAGAGTGGGAATAAAGGAGAGTGAATAAATGACGTAGTAAATAATAATAATAATAATAATAATAATAATAATAATAATAATAATAATAATAATAATAATAATAATAATGGTAATAATAACAATAATAGTAACAATAATAATTCGAATCATTTGTTTGTTAGTCGAAGCAAGAAAAGTAGTTTCCATAAATATAGATAGTTCGTCATTTGTGTGTGGGCTGTGATACTGCCCAGGTGCCCAGACCGAAGCAGGTGGCTATCTTGAGGGGCCACACTCCGGGCCTTTGACCTTAAGGTCTAACCCACAAGGCAGTGGAGCATCGTAAGGAGATGCAGTCCCATGGTAGCCGGTGACCGAAAATTGGTTCATACACCATTTGTTCACGCAGGATACTGGAGCCCATGTGCACCATTGATTTAGTTTGGGATCCGGTTAAAGCGCCGGACATTCGCTTTTCGTCCTCTCATTTTTGTAAACAACACCCCCGCCACGAGAAGGCAGTGAGTAGGACTTCCGTGGCGGAGGCTGTATACGCGTGGCCGTGTGAGAGTATTTCGAGAGGGAGGGCGAACCCACCCCGCTCTCGGTCATACCAGGGCATTTGGGGGCACTAATTTTTGTCCATTGGTGTTCCTCCTTTATCATACGCACTTTACCTTCTGTCTATTCACAAGTTCATGGTTATTTTCTGGTGTATATGTATTTGGTACCCCCTTGCACCATTGTTTGTGTTTATATAATAACAGTTGTAGGAATGCTGCCCTTGATTTGATCCGTGCTTCCATATCTACATCAGATCTTCCCTGTTTATCTATAATGCTACCCAGGCACTTAAAAGTTTTCACTTATTGTATAGTTCCTCCATCATGTATGATTTGATTGTTCACTGTTGTACTTTAGTATGCTTTTGGGAAAAACGTCGAGACCAGTTTATCAACGATATTCTTGAAGGCATGCTGCCACGGTTGCTTAGGTGATATAATCAACGTGGAACATTAATATACTAGATTTTTATACAAATAAATTTCAGATTTAATAAGTTTTATGAAACATTGGTCTGTTTTTTTTCAACCCTAGGTTTTTATGTATTCTCGACTCTCTTTCGTCTTGTACCAGCTGTCTCCGATATTCATGAATCATTAACATTGCCTTCTCCTGGAGCCCGAAATGTCAATGGAAATAAATTATATCTCGGCCACAATGTGGAGTCTGAAACCAATTTTAATTATGATATTCCACCAGGATATAAAGACGATGTACTAGTCGACGTCAATAATATGTCTCCAAGTCTAGTGTTGGATACTCAGAAACATGAACGTGGATCCCATGAGGTCAAAATAAAACATTTTAGTCCTTACATCGCCGTTTGCGTGACAACTTTCTCTTTGGCGTTTTGTTGCTTCATGGTCCATGGAGCAATCACGAGACAGCCAACTCACTTACTCCCGTTTTTCTTTATTCAAGTCTTTGATCTTATCATATGTTTAATTCACATACTCGGATTCATGTCCTCCACATCAGATATACGCTTGGTAATTCACACAAAAGTATGTTCGTTTGCATGACATTATTACAAGATAATTTGATGCTGGTGTCTGCAATGATTGAGGTTCAAAAATCACTTTTTGTTGTTTGTTGCATATTAGTTAAGTAAACTGCTTCAGTTACTGTTCTCACTTTAACAGACACTGCAAGCATCACTTCAAAAACCAGAAGGTTACCTATAGGTTACTATGTTATCGACAGTAACCTCTTACCATGCGAACATAATATTAGAGACTTCTGTACACGGAGGTTATATGGCAATGACTGACCAGTTCAGTCATCAATTAAAAACAAAGTACGAGCTTTAATAACTAAAATCTATCTTTTGAACTTTGAATCCATCATACATTATACTCTGAAATGCGGTTTAATGGTTTAAAGACTGACTTAGTTTTATATTGAGTGAAACATGTATGTATTTATTGCTTTTAACGAAAATGCTAGTCCTAACTTTTGGGTGATATACCAACTTCCTTTGCTTGAGTACATAAATACTAATGTCGGCTGTAACGATTGTGTAGATCTTTAGTAGCATTGAAAATAGCTCTTTCTGTGTGAGTTTTGTTTCCAGAGCTAGATGGTTTGGCCGTGGAGCTTCCATTGTTTTTCTTAACAACATCATCGGCTCAAACTTAGGGTAGAAGTGAAGTTTTCGAACCAATAGACAAATTCATTCAAAATGATAGGCAACCAAATCTCAAGAACTTTAAACAAGCTTGTCAAAAACAGGACAAATATCAAGACAGGATCAATGGAAAATGGAATCCAATGAACCATTACTCCCTCGATTCTACGGTAGGCTGAAAATACACAAACCAAACATCCCACTACTTCCAATCGTAACACTCGCCAGAAAACCAACATACAATTTGTCAAAAAAATTTCACGAATATTGGGACATTCAATGGATTCATCCGATCACTCCATCAAATATCCTATACAATTCATGGATTAGATTAAGGGAATTCAAATCAACGACGAACTGATGATATCGTTCGATGATGCAGTCTTACTCACCTTACTTGAAACACGCTTAGCAAAGGAAACTCTAATACTGCTCCTCACAAACGACACTAATCTCGCAAAGTACACGAAGCTTCAAAGTCAAAGTTTACTAGAACTCATCGATTTATGCTTAACAACATATTTTCTATTCCACAGCGAAATCTACGAACAAACTAAAAGAACATCGATGGAATCACCAATATCAGGACTTACTGCATAAGCAGTGATCCAGAGACTGGAAGTCTCGATCTAACCAGTGATCAAGCCAAAATGTTGGATTCCCTATGTGGACAACACATTCGTCACTGTCGAAAGGGACAGATTGGAAAACGCCTAGAATCTGACCAACAACGTCTTCGATGACATAAAGTTCACAATCGAACAATAGTCAAACAATGATTCTTGGATGTGTTAACCACTAGAACCGATACAGGGAAACTGGTGACTCAAGTATATCGGAAGCCGGATTACAAAGATCGAATTCTCAATTACAGTAGCAACAACACAAGAATTCACAATATCAACTGCATACAAACTTCACTCAACAAGGCGACGACACACTGCCAACACACTTGCAGTGCGGAAAAATGAAAGAAAATACCTAATAGCTATCCTTCGTAAGAACGGCTACCCAATCAACTTCAGCAAAATATGTCGATCCGACGCATTGGTAGAAAGGAGGTCCAATACAGGAGCCAACAAACAGATCATTCTACCATATATAAAAGACATCAGAAATCACAACGAGATTGTTGAAGTTATTCGGAATAGACATAGCACATAAACCAACAAAATCACCTCAATCAATCCTATGCAAAACGAAGGACGGAATGACGAAAGAAGAAAAATCGAACATCATCTACAAAATAAATTGTTGCAACTGCGAAAAATACTACATCGGACAAAATAGACACTCCCTTCATCATCACCTGGACGGACATCAATTAGCAAACAAACGCCATGATATATCCTCGCTTATATCAATGCATGTGGACAACTGTGGACACATATTGGACAGGGAAAATGTTGAGATTTTGGATAGAGGGAATTCTAAAAACACCATAGACTCTTTAGAGGCTTGACACTCAGGTCAATCAGCAATCAACAGACACACTGGAATCGATCCAATTTATAAACTAATCAGTAAGATCATGTACAAATATAGGGCCAAGAATCAAATCACTGGGAGAAACCACCAAAATAAAGAAGTAAACAATGACAGGTTATAGGTCAACAATAACCAATGAAGATCGGGGTCTAGTGGACAAGCTGTGAGTCATATGTGGAGGAATTTGAACACTTTTCTTCTACCTGAAGTCTGTTCTGACGATGTTCAGAAGTACGATGAAAGATTCACGATCGAACCAGCCAGCTCAGAAAACAAAACACCAAAACCATCTACCTGAGCTATAAATCTCTGTCGTCTCGCAACAACTTCAAGGGATTTGTTATATATATATACTGCATAAGTATCCGGGAACACGACGGTTTAAAAGAAACATTCATGAATAAAAAAGCGTTTAGATACCAGTGTGTATAGTCTCTTCATGTTATATAATTCCTGGAGTATTTTGTGTGCTTTACGATCATATAAACTTCAAGGATTTCCATGACGACATAAATGTTCATACTCTTTACCACTTTATGATTTATCCATATTTATAATTATAATTATAATTTATAATTATGTACTGTGGCGTTTAATTATTATTACTATTGTTTCTGGTTTGTAAGGAGCTGAAGTATTTATTTATTTATTTGAACACATAAATATTGGTATAAGAGAGCGCCAATATATATGCGCCACACAAAACAATGAGAATTCGAAGAGAAGTAGAAAGAAAAAAAAACTAAGGAACGCAAAAGAAAAAGAGAACAATGACGAAGAGATTGGAGTAAGGTAGTGTGGTAGTAACGACGGAACGAAAAGGTACAATCAGAAGAAATCTTTCAGGTAAAGGAGACACAACCACTATTTATGAAGAAAGCAAAAGAAGGTTACAGCAGGATCGCCACTGGCTTCTATTCTGAGCCATATCTGACAACGTCTCTAGCCACTGTGTAGCACCATCTCTCGGACCCCAGCCAGGGAGTCGTGAAGGACCAACACAAGCCAGTCCTTTGCAGCTTTCTTTCATGCCACGACACCATGTCATGCACTGACCACCTCTCCGCTTCTTCCAACCAGTCCCAGAGTCGGCAAATAATGCACGACGTGGAATTCTCTGGGACGACATTCGGAGAACATGTCCAAGCCACCGAAGTCGGTGTTTCAAGATGGTGACACCAATTGAGTTATCATCTCTGTGCCCGAACACACGATGCCGAACCTCTGCATTACTGACATGGTGTTACCACTGGATGCCAGCGATCCTTCGGAGACAACGATGATCGAACACAGAGGGTCGTCTAACGTCCTCAACTCGGAGAGGCCAGGTTTCACAAGCATAGAGCAAAACTGCTCTCACCGACGCGTTGTAGATCCGGCCTTTTACAGCCAGACTAACATCACGAAGGCGCCAAAGGTGGCCCAGATTGGCATAAGCCGCTCTGGCTTTCACTATTCGTGCATTGATCTCATCACTCACACCACCACCAGCACTTATGCAGCTACCCAGATACACGAACTTCTCGACTACTTCTATCTGTTCACCATCCAGGGTGAGTACAGGATTGGAATCCTGCCAGTCTTGTAGAAGTACTTTGCACTTCGAAGGTGCAAATCACATACCATACCTACGGACACTGATTGCCAACTGATTAAGTGCGGATTGCATGCCTTGGGCATTATCGCACAGTAAGACAATATCATCCGCATACTCAAGGTCGAGAAGTCTTTCTCCAGGCAACAGATCCACACCACCATTACTTACATTCATCAGAGCTGTTTCCAGAATGTCATCGATGGCAAAGTTGAAGAGGAATGGTGAGATTGGGCAACCCTGCCTAACCCCACTGCTCGAATGGAACAATGGAGAGAGGTGGTTGTATGCCCTCACTCTGCCTGAGGTGTTTGTATATAGGGCTTTTAGGATGTTAATAAACTTCTCAGGCACACCCTTCTTCAATAGACAATCCCAGAGGAAAGTCCTATCCAATGAATCGAAGGCAGCCCTAATGTCAAGAAACACTACGATTGTTGGCCTTTAATAAGTATGACGGTGTTCTAACATTTGGTGGAGGGTGAAGATATGATCAATACATCCTCGACCAGAACGAAACCCAGCCTGCTCCTCGCGAGTCAATCTTTCTCGGGTTTTGAACAACCTACGAAGTATGACGGAAGCCAATAGCTTGGACGCAATCGGAAGTAGACTTATCCCCCGATATTTGTTACAGGAACGACGTGAACACTTTTTAAAGATAGGGACAACTATCGACTCATTCCATGACGTTGGTACACTCTCTAGTTCCCAGACTTTTTTAAACAACGTCATCAGTTCCTTAGTCAGAAAGTCACTACCATCTTTAAAAAGAGCCAGAGGTAAGTCATCTGGGCCAGGTGATTTGTAGCGCTTCAAGAGTTGGAGTTCCTTGCGGACTTCCGCCTCATTTGGTGGATCAGTCGTCACCGGCCATGGAGGGCAGGACAGTCTGACCGATGTTGCCGGAGCAGCAGGCCAGTTGAACTGCCCTTCGAAGAATTCTGCCCATCGTCCAAGACGTCGATGGATGTTAGTGATCGGCATCCTGTCAACCTCACAGATTGTTTCGCTCACACCAGACTTCTTGCTGCCAGTGGCTCGGATGAGTTGGAAGAGCTTCCGGTAGTTACCAGATGCAGCTGCTGCTCCCAGCTCGTTAGCAGGCTCCGACCACCAGGCTTCTCGGTCCTTACGCAAGCTTTGCCCAATTTCCTCACGTAACATTCTTCGTTTGTGGTCAAACTCACGGTCACCCGGAGTAGACCGACGGGCTTCAATGAGTTGTAAGGAACCAGAAGAAACCCAGTGCTTGAAAGCAGGACGTTTCGCGAACCCACAACTGACTGTACCCGCCATTTTCATGGCGTCATGAGATTGCAACCTATGCTCATCTATACTTTTCAGTGGAATGATAGCTAGCCTAGAAGCTAGCTCGGTTCGATACTTACTTGCAACAGAAGTTGCAACCAGCTTGCTAACATCAATCTGTTGATGGCGGTCACTTCGTCGGCCACTGAAAAGCACGGTAAGATTGGCGCAGACCAGGGCGTGATCAGAGTCCAGATAGGTGCTCCAAAATGAGCGACAGTCTTGTACACAACCACGTCAGAGGTAGCTGATCGCGATGTGATCAATCTGAGTCCAGGCTTGAGATGCAGAGGGAGGACGCCAGGTGGCACATCGGCGATGACTGTGCCGAAAGTTAGTGCTAGCCAGAAACAGGTTGTGGTCTGTGCAAAGTTGCAGTAGACGGTACCCGTTATCTGACCTGCGACCAACGAGTCCCCATCGGCCACCTAAGCGACTCTCTTCTGTGCCTAGACGCCCGACCTGAGCATTCGAGTCTCCGGCTAGTACTACAATATTTGTCGAACGCACTTTCTGGAGAACAGTGAACTCGTGGTAGAATTCATCCTTGATTGCATCCGGGCTGCAATCTGTCGGGGCATAGATGGAGATGACGAAAAGACGTCGTTTTTCACGCCGATTTCTTCTCACTTTGATGGAACTTTCTAATCTAACAGCACATAACCGATTGTTAATGGGGATCCAATCGACTAGTGCTGCCTCAGCTCTAGCGCTTAGTGCGACACCAACGCGAGCAAGACCAGACGCAGATGCCACAGGGTCCCTGGATAAACGCACGTAAAACAAGCTTTTGGAAGCGACAGATGGTGAGGGAATTAGTAGTACTTCACCAGAGTCTTGAGTACGGGTCTCGGATAGACAGCACACGTCGATATTAAGACTTTCCAAAGACATAGCCAGCCCTATCTGTTGTCCGACCTGCATAAGTGTGCGAACGTTGAAGGAGCTGAAGAGAAATCATGATATAACTGAATGTATCTTATTCTGTTTTGTTTGTTGTTCTTTCTGAAGTAATAATATTTCTTTTGGAAGTAATGTTAGATGTTTTTTTGCTTTTAGACAGGGCCTATTTACATCAAATCTACGGGTTTGACTTTTATCATATTGTCTATCTCATGCATGATGTTGGCATTCAAAGCCTATTGTCTTGGTATGGTATGGGACTGTTATAAATACTTAATGCTAAATCGAAGAGGCAACCTACTTGATGATTGGTATTCCGACCAGTGGGGTCATTTGTCAACTTTTTGGAGTTTACTTCGGACTGGTCGTAATCGAGGCAATAATTCGATTGGGAACTCTGGTTCTCCTAATGAGCCTAATACAAGACCTCGTCCTGATACAATTACATACGATCCAGCTAATGATCTACCAAAGTATGAGGCAAGTAGTAATCAGTGTTATCATTCGTGTTATGACTTTTACTCATGTTCAGCGTTATAATACGTGCACACCCTATGTCAAATCGGCCAGCAGGTCTCTTTGGCTAAAACCCTAGAACCCCGGAACTCATATATAGGATCGTAGTGTGGTCATTCACTTGAGCTCACATCGCCAGAACGGGAAGCCAGCATCTGCAGTGATATCTACTAGTGATTTAAACCAAAGGGTTACGAAAACTCAATGGATTTCTAGTAAATCTTTTACACTGATGAATTCTCGTAAACGCATCCCATCAGGATCTGAACACGGTAAAGAACGAAAACAAAGCAGATTTAGGTTAACCAGAAGTCTAAGGAACGACCGTGAGCAGTGGTGGGCAACGAAAGCAAAAGAGATGGAAAAAGCAGCGGCTGTAGGTAACACAAGACAGTTTTTCAGACTAATAAAAGAAACTGGAATGAAGAATTCAAATGTGAGACAAATTGGGAAAAAGACGACATTTATCCGCTTTCAGCCCAGACGTTTAGAACGATGGATGGAACACATTAAGGAGCAGTTCAGCTGATCTTCAGCTACTCTACAACTACTGTTATAATTTCCTCTTATTACAACCCAGCTATTCTTACTACTTAGTATTCTTGGACACCAATTCACTCGACAAGTCACCAAATCAGGACACGGTTGAACAGGAAAGAGGTTATACTCCAAGTAACAAAGTTAGATGGAAGCAGGAAGCACAGTATGAAAAGCGTTAGTTTATTTATAGTTTTTACATGAGAAGATTCTAGAGTGTTCTCTAAGTATCGACTAGCGCTGATTGGATAAGAATTAGTCAATCAGCGTGCGCCAAAGCAGTCGTGCATTGAGTGTACTTTAATTCAATTTATGCCCCACTAACAACTACCATTCATCCGTAGACCGCGTGAATGAAACATTTAAGTAGGTCCTTCGACTCTAGCTGAAGTTCAAAAGACTATAGCTAATCTGAAATGAGGAAGAACAGCTGGTCCAAATGGATTAGCTTCAGATGTCTTTAATTTTGGTAGTCTAGTTTTAGCGATTAGGTTAACTAACATTTTAGCTGAAATCCGGGTGTTGGACGTAATCCCATCTGACTGGTCGCAATCACTTATCGTTCCAATATATAAGGAGGAGTCAAAATCATCCATTGATAACCATGAAGGGATTAGTTTGACAAATATATCATCCAAAGCATTAGTCTCAATAATTATCGGATGCCTAACAAAGAGTCGTGAACTGCAAACACGAGAAAACCAGTCTGGCTTCAGACCTAGTCGTGGATGCATCGCCCACACATTCATCATTGGTCACGTTCTAGAACACAGGCATGCTTACTGACGACTGATAATGACGGTTGTTCTTGACTTAAATGCAGCATTTGACTCCATAGATCGAGAGGTTCCGTGGCATTGTCTCTCATTGAAAAGCGTATCTCAGACGTACATAAACCTTGTGAAAGACTTTTATTCAAACACCATTGGTCGAGTCAGAGCTTATGACGATCTGTCATCTGATTTTGCAACCTCTGGTGGTGTCGAACAAGGTTGTCCATCATTTCCATTTTTTCAACTTCATCATGGATCTACTGCTGGAAATAGTGTCTTCGTCGACTGAATTTTAAGGAATAGATCTCCCACCAGGAGGTGCACTGATCGACTTAGAATACGCAGATGATATAGTCCTGTTTGGCGAAGACGCTGATAAAATGCAGAGTGTTTGGTGGCACTGAGCAACAATGCCAGGACGTTTGGGATGCGTTTCTTCCTATTTTGAAATTCACGTTGTTACTTCAGGGATTGGGCTGCATGATCACATGAACTAAGGATAGGGAATGAAGTAGTCGAATGCGTCGACGACTTAAATTATCTTGGAAGTCTGATCTGTCCAAATGTTTTGGTGTCTGACGAAATCTGTGCATGGACTCAAAAGCTCGATTGGCTTTTGCCAATACGTCAGCCATCGTGAGGGCGAGATATTGGTCTATCAATTAAGGGGCTAGTATACTATGCGACAGTTCGTTCTGTTTTAATTTGCGCCTGCGAAACGTGGCCAATAAGAGTAGATGATACTCGTAATTTACTAGTATTTTATTACAAATTCTTAGAAATATTGCTCGCATCTGCTGGGATCATCGGGTAAGTAATAGTGAGGTTAGACACAGGGTATCATGGGATGATGGTAAGTCAGCTGATAAAGCTGTGAGTTTTCATCGACTGAGATGGTTGGGGCGTATGTCTAAACACCAATTACCACGACGAGCAATGCTGACTAGTGTTGGGGATGGTTGGAGGAAGGTTAGGGGCGGCCAAACCAAAACATGGGATCAGTGATTGAAGTCACTAGCTTGTAGTCTGAGCCATATTGGTAGATGCAGACTACTTGGTTGGGGTCCGCATGACTCTAGAATCAACCACAGAACCAACCACAGTGGTGTAGGCGTATACACTCTGTGTCTTCCCTTCAACTGTGAGATTAAAATTGCTTAATATCTTTCTTTCTACGAACTAATTGTTTCTTGTACTTCATCGGTCAGTCAGTTTCAGTAGACATGGGACAGTGTTTTGCGCATGTTTCGACCGTGGTGACACTTGAGGAGGGAGTTGAAAGAGAAAGTTTAGAGTTGGAAGTCGACGTAGGAGGAATAATAGGAATTAACAAGGGATATTGATTATGAATACCTTGATCTTGAGTGCTATTATAGGTATAAGGGCAGTTATCACTTCCCGGTTGCCCACACCATTGAAGGGTTCTTCTGGAGCTACCTGAGATGGAAATCGGATTAAAAGTGGTCTTAGTGACCCGAGAGCATGATCGCAGTGCCAAAGAGGACAACTGCTTAATGTCGGTCACCCATGACGTTTTTATGAGTAATTTTCGTGATAGCTCCGTATTTGTTGAGACCTTGACGGCGGAGACGGATATCTGTGGGATAAGGTGAGGTGTGCATTTTCACGGTCGACCTATTCTAATCCCACCCCTCCTTGTGAGAAGGCAGCATCGCTGTTATGCCGCTTGTCTGAAGGAAGCACCTTACTGCCGTCACACCTCTGTACAGTTAGCAATACGACTTCTCTCTCGGACCTTGGGTTTGCTGCTTTTAGTCTTACCGCTTTCCAACTGATTTGTCTGGCATGGTAGAACCTTGATTAACGATTGTTCCAGCCAGTATAGCTCGACTGGTTCATCATGATAGGCAAGCCTGACCAGCACGTCAAGGTAGCAACAACGGTTGGGTCCTTTACTGTATTCTTACACACAACCTTTCTTTTATACATTCCTAACATTGAAGTAATTGGTTCTATGAATTCGGTGTTCATCTTGTTGTGCTAATGAGGTGTGGCAACTTGGACCGATGCATTTGTGTGCTTGGTCCTACGTTGTAGCTGACTGACTTTTTCGTCCTCTCAATTGCATAAACAACACCCTCGCTGCGAGAAGGCAATGAGTAGGACTTCTCTAGCAGTGGCTGTATGCACGATGGCCATGTGAGGGCATTTCGTGATGGAGGGTGGACTCCCCACTCTCATCTGGGGAGGCACATACGTCAAAGGAGACTCACCGATTGTAATCCCTAACATAAATGGTAAGATTTAAACAACCAATTTAAATGAATTAAGAGGATATCTTGTTTAGAAAAAATGAATTTTGTAAATGAAAATTTGGTCATGTTTAAAATGAGATTTTTGGGGGGAGATTAAGAAGCAAATATATGTACGCCACTGAGATTTATTACGACTCGTCTCACTTGATGTCTGGTAACATATGGTAAGATTATCACCCTGATCACGATTAAGGAGTTCAGAACAATCCAAATTGGCTTCGTAGTTTGTTAGTAAATGCCATTTGGATAATTTAGACGATCCTCATCTCAGTGATTTCACTTGAGGAACTTCGTTCTCGGATTTATTTTTTATTTCTAGTATTTATTCAGAGCGTATATAATCAAATTGTCAAGCAGGATGATATTTGTATTGGTGGTCATGATAAATCATGTCCCCGTTTTCTTCGATTCGATCTCAACCTTGTGCTGCCAGTGCTTCGACTTTTGGTTTCTTTTATATACTACTTTTGTCGACATAAGTAGCATACACATACTACTCAGGCATCTCGCTATGCTAAAATGGTGTATCACTTTGAAGTGATGCACATATGAGTTGCCATATGAGTAATTGAATTAACGAAACATTTTACGTTTGTTTCATTTCAGTTTGAAGGTTTCCATCAGTGTGTCCACTGCGCTTTTTATAACATAAGACCCTAGATATCTCGACAAGTGCCTTGCAATTAGATCACTGAGATTATTTATATCCAGCTTCTGTCTATCAGTGACATACTAATCTTTGCCACCAACCAACGAAGCCATAGAAAGCCTAGTTTTATTGTGTTTGTATTCTAATACATTTCATAAATAGCAAGTAGCTTTTATTCAATTGTCCTATCTATATTACATCACTAACTTTTAGGATATCTTGAAAATTCCGGCAAATGCCTACGCTCCTCCACCCTATTACTGTTCTAACACCAACGGACATGTCAATACAACTACAACTGATGCTGTTACTACCAATACGACTATTACTTCTGGTACTACGGCTAATACTACTACTACTACTACTACTACTAATTAATACTAGTACTAATACTAGTACTACAACTAGTGTGATATCAGCAGTTACAACAACTAACAAGGATGATGCCCAAATCAATAATGCATCATCGAATGCTCACTCTTCTTGTTAATCTGATTTAATTGTTAATTACATACGCACTGATTCTAAACATTACAAAAAAGAAACATTCTAAAAGTATAATTTTTTCTACGTCAAATCACGATAAATGATTTTTGGCATATTAGAAAAACTCGTGTGTTTATGTTTACACACTTATTTTCATTTTCATTTTATTCATTACACCTGTTTGTTTACTTTGTTCATTGTTTCTCTTCACTAAAGTTGATCTGTGGGAGTTCTAAATGTTAT